AAATTTGATGACTTTTGATTTTTTGATTCACTCTTATCGAGTTAATTATTCACATATTTACCTTTTGCAAGTCTGCCTTGTTGACTTATGATTTGTGCAAAACATGGTGTCAAACCCAAGGGAACGTTTTTCCAACTTCAAACAGATAGATGAGCAGTTGTGCAAAAGGTTTCTTCACGAAACTCCGCAAATACGAAGATGAATACCTAGGTTCCTTAACCTCCTTTTGTGATGCCATAGATCAAATCTTTAAGTCATCAAGGTCTTAAAATATTCTTGTGTGTCGTCGTTTTTCGAGTGGCTCTTGGAAAGGTACTTCGCAAAGAAAAATTCAATAACTAAAGATCTTTTTCGTTAAAAGCATCAAAGTAAGTGAAAAAACATTTTCGAAGGACTCCTTTACCCATATGACTGGTTCATAAAGCAATATCTTTGAGATTTTTGGGGGAAAAACGGGAAGATAAACACGAGCGTTTAGTCTTCCCTCTTGGCCGCCATTGTGAAATCGCTGAACCGCGACGTGACGTCATACTGTCATACATGACTCATTCATTGTTTACCTTGGAGACGTCTCCTCCCTCCTGACCGTGAACATTAAATAGTACTAATAAGTACTATTTCATACAGAATCCTTTGTTTTCTATTGTTTATTTATCACCATTTAGTACTAAAAGTTAGAAGAACGATTTCACGTAAGCGTTTTTAACATGCTAATGCCGAGTATTGTCGAGTATTTACAGTCAAACAAGCTCACGCGTTGACCCCTAGAGTCGATTAATGATTTGAATTTTCGAATTTTGATTTCATTATTCAGTTGAAATTTACGTCGAAAACGAAGTTGGTGAAAATTCCAATCAACTTTAAATTCAATATACGACATTTTGATTGGTTAATCAGTGCTAACACAGGAAGATCAAGAAAACATGGCGGCCAGAAATAGTCTTGGCCGTGTTTATGTGCCGGGAAGACCTTTACCTGATATTATTCAACAGGAAATTGTTCATCTCAGCGATAGCGGATTGCCCAGTAAAGCAATTTCGCGACAACTGAAAATTTCTAGTTGGGGAGTCCAGAAAATACTCCAACATTATCGATGATATGGAACTGTGTCTCCATTCGCTCAAGGCGGGAACGTTCCCTACAAAATACTGATGATATCCTCCAAGTAATTGAGGCATGGAAATTACAAAACCTAAGGGTTCCACCCCACGTGGGAAGGCAAACGTTGCGTGACAAACCCTAAGATCGTCTGCATAGATGGCTACGTATGGATCGCCTTAATTAGAGCATTATTTTCTTATAACTATCTCGTGATCTCTGTGTTTTGAAGAATGGGAAATTAACTATTGTTCTTTTATATTGTTGTAAATTTTATAGTGCGTGCCGGTCAGGTAGTTGGACAAAACATTACGCCAACCAAGAACGTACTAGCATAAACACAAATCTTACCACGTGGTCATCCACCAACAAAAGATAACATCAGTTCCATTCCAAATTCCGTACTCTACGTCTTTCGCGGGGCATTCCTTTGGCCTCTAAACCCGTTTGGAACATCGTAGGAGAACAGATAATCACTAGAGGTAGTTACCATTCACTACCATTATCGTTGAAGTGCGACCCACGAAGTTCAATGTCTTGTTTGACGACTAGCATTTCAACTACCGTCAATCAAAGAACTGCAAGAAAAAAGCAAAATATTGAGGGGAAAATTTGGGCTGAATTAAAGATTTTCAATCTAAATCGCACTTCAACGATAATAGCAGTAAAAGGTTTGTGCCGATACTTTGACCTGGTACTGAATTCAATCGAACTCAGTCACCTATTCTTTTATTGGCAATCGCGCATAGGAACGAACTGAAACCTTTATTTGGTGAGTCCAATGAAGCTCGATAAGTTCGGCTTGGTTTGGTTCGATTTAAGAATCGATTGCGAACGCAACCCAAATGAATCGAACGATTGGAGTTAGATAGAGTTCGATTACTGAACTTTTTATTACAGTTCAGTACGCCGGGCATTAGAGAGCATTGAAGCGCTTAGCTAATGCACCAAAACGTTTTATTCAAGCTTATCCCCTAGAACGAATAACTACTCGACTAGAGAGCTCTGACTACGGAAAATATCAAAACTGTGTTACTTTATTTTAATATTTTTTTTGCCGTGATTTTACACTTGAATGCGTACGTACGCGTGAGTCGTTTCTTTGCTATTTTAAAATCTCATCGAATGTACAGCCAAAATGTTGAAATACTGAGACAATACAGAGACAGAACCGTCGCCCATATGAAAAATTGATTTAATTAAATTTAATTAGATTAAATTCACATGCTTTCAGTTCGACCCCGTTGAGCTGCGCCACTGTTGTACTTGCGGTAGTGTTTTTACTTTTACTTTTTGTTTTTGTTTTTACTCGGGCTACCTGTGGTTTACAGTGGCCCACAAGTCTCACGGCAAAACAAAAACTCACGGCAAAACAAACTAAACTCACGGCAAAAGGAAATAAATTCACGGCAAAATAAACTTAATTCACGGCAGAATAAAGAAAGCCACGGCAGAATAAACTAAACTCACGGCAGAATAAAGAAAGCTACGGCAGAATAAGCTAAACTCACGGCAGAATAAAGAAAGCCACGGCAGAATAAACTAAACTCACGGCAGAATAAAGAAAGCCACGGCAGAACAAAGAAAGCCACGGCAGAATACAATAAAGGTTGTGGTGGGCAACGACGTATTGGGTTCCCTGTTGATTTTTTTACCGCGAGCAATTTGTCAGCGGTTTTGATGTTGTAAATACAAATGGCGTCTGGTTAAATACTCATAAATTTACAATGCAAAGTTTATCAATTTATCATAACCTTTAAAAGACTTTAGACTTCAATATTGACCCTGAAACAATAAGAACGCTTTATAATTATTCCAAAACAAAAAGTTTCAATGATAAGAACCTAAGCTTGACAAGAAATAATTAAAAATGAATGTATGTAATGAAATTAATGGTTTTAGGAGATATTTTTGAAGAGAAAAATCGGTTCAAGGTTTGTCATCGCCGGGTATGTGATTTCAAGCCGATCGGTTGTTTGGATGCTCGATGTTCTAGCTCAATCAATCGCGTTTGAATAAAGTTATCAAATGAAATATCCACCACTTGGCACCATTTTGAGGCGCGCAAGTAACAGCTCTTATGGTCAAAGGCCACCTTTCCTCATTTAGTTCTCGGGATGTTTTGGCAGTCAGGAAACAAAACAACCCTTCGTTCGCGAGGGTTGCCAGTGAAGTATTGTGGCCCTCAACTAGTTAATTGAAAGTATACACAGTGTAGATATAGGAAATCCCCAACTGCAAGAAAATTCATACAAAACCGGAGAGACAGATTTGACATTCATAATACTTTCTCGCCAGGAGATGTTCACACAACGACGGTCAAATGCAAATGAAGCAAAATGAAACCTTTAAGGCACAATGCTTCACGCGACTTGATCACCCTCCTCTGATTCTGCCGTGGCTTTCTTTATTCTGCCGTGAGTTTAGTTTATTTTGCCGTGGCTTTCTTTATTCTGCCGTGAGTTTAGTTTATTTTGCCGTGGCTTTCTTTATTCTGCCGTGAATTAAGTTTATTTTGCCGTGAATTTATTGCCTTTTGCCGTGAGTTTAGTTTGTTTTGCCGTGAGTTTAGTTTGTTTTGCCGTGAGTTTAGTTTGTTTTGCCATGAGTCTAATTTGTTTTGCCGTGAGTTTTTGTTTTGCCGTGAGTTTTTGTTTTGCCGTGAGACTTGTGGGCCACCGTAGTGGTAAGCCCGAGTCTAGGTTTCGGTTTTAACTATGATCTATCTAAATATCGACGTTATCGAAAATGTGTAAGCCTGCGCTGCTCGGCGGTCTGCGGTCTGCTCAGCGGTCTGATGAGAGAAAACAACAAATCTCTCTAGATAAAAATGCGTTTCCAGAATCAAGAATTCTTGGACTTACATCAATAACAGTGAGGATAAGTTTTTTGTTTATTTTTTTGTTTGCAATTTTGAACAGTTTCTTCAGCAGTTTATCGTTCGTTCAGCTATCATCACGAGCGTGTTGATCGTTGCCTTGTGCATGGTTTTGGTTGTACAACATTTCATAAATGTGTCAACAAAGACTTTGGCAAACTCTTTACAGCATAACTGCGATATATTCGAAAAATTTGCACAATTATCTATATTTGTTCATCCCAATAAAGAGTCATTGGAACGCAGGTCTCGTTATGCTTAAAATTCCTTATTCATCAGTATGTTGAGCACAAGCCTTGTGTTGTTTCGCGTGATCGAAAACCAAGTAGAGTTCCAGTCAAACAGCTCACCGTTCTTTTGCACAAAAGCAGAAAAATACGGCCGTAACTATAAAATATACGGTCATGGTAACTATACATGATATTTCATCTACTGTCGATTTCCTTTTCTCTAGTGCATGCCCTTAGGTAATGCTTTGCAAATTTTAATTAGAGAAAATCACCAGTCATTCCTGTTAACTATTTAATGTAATATTACAAATTTGAATGTCAATATTATACCAATTGTATTCCTTTGAGAAGTTGCTGTTTCCCATCATTATGCAATCCACACACCAAAAAACTTGGCTGGGGCTGCAAGTGCTTATACTTCATCAAATACACTACGGTAGCCCGAGTTCACGCCACGAAGGGCGTCTAGTTTTTTTAAATTGATTAAATCATGTTTATATTAAACAATTCCTGTTGGTTAGTTTTCTTCGCGATTGAGTAACTCTTGACAATCAGATCTTGAGATAGTATGAAGATTTTTTTCTAGAAACTGAGTCATTTTGTGCCATTACTAAAACCAATTATAACAGCGAACCAATTATGCATGTTTTTTCTTAAAACCACAGCCGGCTAATGCGTAGTCTCCCCCACAGCCGCTTTCATAGGGGAGAAAGCGTTGCGTGACGACACTGAAAACGGCTATGGGGGAGACTAGCTAATGCGGTCCCTGAGCATGAGGTCGCGAAGCCACGAGGAAGCAAAAACAGGTTGGCGGGCTCAGTATAATAATAGAGAGTAGAGAGTTTTAGATTTACGTTCACGGCAAACGTGAAACGTCAGTTGACCATTTAAAAAATATTTTAAATAGCTGAGAAAGAATCGCAAAAAAGTCCAAGTAGTAGAAAAACGAAAGAATATTTGTCTTTGGTAAGAAAGTTTGCAAGAGGTTAAGTTAAATGCAGGAAAACGATGAAAACATTGTCACGTTTGCGGTTTGCGGGGAGAAAAAAATTAATCTAAAACTCTCTATCAACTCGGTGGTGCTCTGCTGAGAACGCTTTCCACCCCCTACCTCTTTGTAATAAGAATTTGTATCAAGGAATTAGGCCATTACAGTGCTTTCTGTGTGTCTCTTAAAGGGGGCAGAGGATAGGATAGAAAACGTGTGCGGAATAAAAATCAAAATCAAAACAAAACAAACAACTTGGAAACGTGCTTAGATGCAAGGTCACTCTTTAACTCTTTCTAAACAAATTCTAAACGTCAACTCAAGATTAATATAAAATATCTTAAAAATCTATTTATCGGCTCCCATAACTATGGAACAATCATCTCTAGTTTTAATGTTGTAGTTGAATTGAACAGTTGAAAGATGGAAAATTATTTTCCTTCCCTTGGGCTTCCTGTGTCATTGCCACCTGAATCCTAATAATCCCTTGGAAGGGGCTCAAAAACAGTACCATTGTCACTCAGATTCTCTTGGTCAAAAATGGACGAGAAGCTTGGTTCCAGTGAATCAACGCCCAAATCTCCTCTTGAACGCAGCGAAGGCCACGAGTTTGATGACGTCTTCAATCACGTCAAGTCCTTTGGCAGATACCAAAAAATCGTGTACTTCTCCTTACATATGCTGATTTTCCCCATCACCACGCAGTTTGACGCGCTGGTATTTGCCTTCAGTACGCCTAACTTTCACTGTGAGACTGCCAACGTCACGTGCCCTTCCAAGAAATGTTGCAAGGGATGTACGTCATACGTGTTCGACGGACCTTTTAACAGTACCGTTTCCGAGGTTAGTAAGTTTTGCTTCTGTATCTTGTTGTGCTCCGCATATAAACAGGTTTCTTTCCAAAGGAATAAGGAAAAGGGAGTCTGAATTTGTCTAGTAGTTCCCTTCACAGTTCCCTGCGCCATCGTTAAAGGTGACCGTGCCTGTGCATGGAAGAGAGAAAACTTTTTTTGTTTTTTTCTCCAAATTGTGCTGCTTTGACGTCACATGCAAGTGAAATAAGTCGCCCACTAGCCTGTGTATAGCCGCTTCACACCCCTTTCCCCTACGGGAAAAGGAGGAGGAAGKGTCTGTATTGCGTGACTTTGTCACTCGCAAAATAATTCGCTCACCCGTTATATCGGAGCAATAAGAGTGTTTCAATGTGGCAAGTCATTGTAGCCTCTACGATACGTCACCAATGATGCAAGCCGTAGCTGTATTACTTGATCGTCTTATTTTCTATTTTTAGTGGAACCTGGTTTGTGACCGTGCGTACCTGGGTGCCATTATACAATCTTGTTACTTTGCCGGGATGACGATTGGTTCGTTTGCGACCGGGATGATATCCGACGCCTGGGGACGAAAGAAGTGTATCTTCTTTTCCACTGCCATCATGGTATGTCAAATACGTCAATATTCAGTTTGAAAAATGACGGCGCTAAGCATGTTCACGCTATGTAATAATACTGTGACACGGCGCCGTCACGGTCACGTCACGCCGTCGCCGTCACGTCGCCAGTGGAGTGAATGATTTTAGCACACGAAAAGAACTGTGCTTAAGCAATACATTAAAGCATTGTAGTTCGTGTAAGCTCGGGGTCACCTTAAAGCTCCGCACCGCACTTCTCCCGTGAAGATGAAATCAAAAGCTGATATATACACCTTTTAGCTTGGAGTAATTTTTCCCCATTAAATACCACGTGTCATTATCAACATTATCATTTCTGTTTAACGGTTGTGCATGAGAAAACACATGGATACAACTCAAAGAATCTTATACTCAAGGGAATAACACATGGTTTGTTTGAAATAGGAAAACATTACGCCCGAGCTAATAGAGTCTATTACTGTCATTTTGCAGCTTTTAGGTGGTATTGGGTCTTCTGTCGTCGACTGCATCTCCTTTCTTGGATTTCTTCGGTTTGTTGTCGGGTTTGGATTGAGTGGAGCCATGCTTGCTCTCTATATCTACTGCGTGGAGTTAGTTGGCCCCAAACGACGTACACTTGTTGGAAATATTACGTTCGTTTACTTCAGTGGCTTTGGAATAGGCGCTGTCTTCTTTGCGTATTTTATTCGTGAATGGAGAATGCTTCTTTTGGTCCTCACACTTCCTGCTGTGCTGCTGTTTCCTTTCTGGAGGTTCGTTTGTTACTGATAATTAGTCCTTCCTTGCTTGCTTGCTTGCTTGCATCCATCCACCCCTCTTTCCATGTGTCAGTCTATTCAAATGTTTTTTCAAATTTCTTTCTCCTTACCTCCATTACGTACCCCAATCTATCATGTACTTGGTGTGTAGACCTACGCCTGCTTGACAGGTCTTTTTAAAACAAATCTCACAGGGTAATGCCCGAGTCCCCTCGTTGGCTGATCGCCAATAACAAGCTGGATGAAGCTGAAAGAATCCTCATGAAGTTTGGAGGGAAAAGGGGCAGACCAATTGACCGCGACCAGTTAAGAAAACTAATTTTAGACGTAAGGGAAGATCAGGTAAATAAGGAAGCAAGTGCTAAAAGGTACACACCTCTGGATCTTGTTCGCACCGCAAAGATGAGGAAATGGGCCATCATCATGAGTTATCAATGGTTAGTTTATACTCGATTTATTATTTATATAGCGCCTATATTTCATATGGATAAGATTAAAGGTGTTTTACAGTGAGTTATAAATTAATAAGAGGTGGTCAATTGATTAGTATGAACCTGTGAATGTTGCTCTGACCACCCCTTGAACCCACTACTTTATGCAAACAGTTCGATGCTCAACCAAAGGTGTCACATTTTCTTGATAATAGTCTTCTTCACAGTTGCCTGCGCCATCTTTAAAGGTAGCCGTGCCTTTGCATCGAAGCTAGACGAACGGTGAGCTTGCAATGATAGAGACCTTTTTCAACGCCTTAGACAATTATTCTCATGTCTCTAACATTGCAAGCTCACCGTTCGTCTCGCTTCGATGCAAAGGCACGGCTACCTTTCAAGATGGCGCATGGAACTGTGAAGGGGACTATTATAATGTTCTGTATTTGAGTTGTAACCATATTCATGCCTTCTCATGCGCAACTTTTATATAAAGTCTTAACTAGCTCCAGTCAAACTTGTTGGTTTTCCAGTCCAACAGACATTCTTATTCGAAAGATATTTAGTTCCACCAAATTTATGTCATTTTTTCCCAATCACCAGGTTCGTGGTTGCATTGGTGAGCTTCGGTATTCTGTTGTTTGTGTCTCAGTTGGCTGGAAGCGTCTACCTAAACTTCCTGATTATCACTACTGCACAGGCATTCAAAGTTGTCTTAACGTACTTTGTTTTTTTGAAGTGAGTTCTTCAATAACTTTAGCTCGATCATTTTATTATGCCTCGAATATCTTGGTTTGAGGTTAAAAGTTGATTTATTGACCTAATTCGTTGTGGGGCAAGGTTTTCTCATTAAAATTACGTGTCATTGCCTTGAGAATAAGATTCTTTGTTCAAGTTGTATCGATTTTGATGTTTTTTCTCATGCACAACCATTAATTTAATGGTACCCACCGATACGGTTGGTCCGGTTTCAACCGGACGACCAACTTTCGGGAAAAAAATATCAAAAACCAAAAACCCTCTAAAACCGGACCAATCAGAGATTTGTGGCTACGGCCCTGTTAAACCAAGAAATGCATGATAATCGTTAATAATGACACGTGGTATTTAATGAGAAAACATTACATCACCACACGAATAAGGTCTACTGTCAGACTCACTAGGCTATACTACTTTATTCAGGCGATTAAACAACTGCAATGGGATCTTAACACTACAATTCGTAGGTCATCAAGCCCATGCTTGGTTGTTTCTACAAATATTTAGAAAATAGATCAAAATCATAAAGGCGGATGATGCATGACTAAGAGTCGTGACGTCACTTATCTTTTCTCAGGTTTGGTCGTCGTATTGGCCATGCAGGCTTCATCGTGCTCGTTGGAACCATTCTCCTTCTTGTTCTTGCCGTAAACAAAGGTAAATCGTAGATTAGATTTCGTTGTCTAGACTTTGTCAAAAACACTCTGAGCGACCCGCCCTCCCCTTTGCTCTAAATACCATACAACATTAACAGTATCTCCCATTACTATATCTAAAATGGCGGATATGACGTCAGTCAAATTTACCGCCAAAAAAGTGAGGGGTACATAAAGGACGTTTTAATGTTCTTTAGTGTTGCCGGATACCTTTCAAACCCTGAAACAACCAGCTGTGAGAATGTAGCTTTAGGTTTTGTGGTGGAAAGAATTGCAGATGGCATGTAGGTAAAAGACTACATTTGGCCCAGCACCAAACAGCCTAGCTAGGGTGCTTTCCATTTACCCCGAAAAGACGGAAATTCAGGTTGGAAAACAAATGTTATGTATTATTCCGATCGGAAAGCTCCGGAAAACTCGGTCTTCCGCCGATTGAGGTAATCCACTTTTCCCGCTCTTTTCAGTTCTTTTGGTAAACGCGTGTACTATTTTTCAAAAGTGAAAGTTTCCCGCCTTTTTTACTATAAGCAAACGCTTTTCCAACCAGATAGATTGGTCTAAATGGTAAGCGACTGTGATCTATTAATGAATAACCGATTGTTTCAGATTACCCTTGGGCAACCACAGTCCTGTCACTTCTTGGTTACATCTTGATTGACTGTAACTGGACGGGTGTATATATCATCACTCCAGAACTCTTCCCAACTGTACTAAGGTATGTTCATCATTGACACTATATATCACAGGGGCGGGACTACGTTTTTTAGTTGGGGGAGGGGGGAGCAAGTTCGACCAAAACTCCCATCAACCATTTACTGTAATGCAAGGCTAACACTAAAAATATGAAAGAAATGCCACAAATTCCATCGAGAAAAAGTGTGATTTCTTTTGTGTTTTCATGTTAACCTCGCATCCACAATAATTTTGAGAAGGATCCATTTGTAGTTGGTTAATAACATATATTAGAATTAGACTCTATTGCCTTCAAAGAGTCGTGGCAATTGTGCAAGCTTCTATACATTTCGTTTTATCGACCGAAATTCCTCGACTTGAAACAATTGTTTGAAGGCGAAGGAGTGTAACTCTTATTATACCGGCTATTAAGGCAGTAAGATTTGCCGTCATGATAAACTACAATAATAATAGATCATATCTCCTATTAAGCCTTTCCTTTCTTCATCTGTGTGCAGGAACACAGCCCAAGGAACTGGATCGACAAGTGCTCGTATTGGTGGAATCTTGGCTCCTTTTGTAGCAATGATGGTAAGTGCAACCCAGTCATGCATACATATACCATATCAATAAACCTTTTTCCAATAGCGAAGCGCATTGAGTCTAAAAATAGCTTAAAGATTCGGACAAGCATTGCATTCTGTTTAACCGCTACGAGGATTATACGAACCGATTTTATTAATTTTACTTAAAGTTACAATAATAACCTATGTAAGCTAAGATCAACTGCGATCGGCTGTGAAAATTATCTGCTGAAAGTAAACTTGTAAGTTTGTTAGTCCGAATAGGCCCTTTGCAGTTAACGGTCACGTGTCTGTACTGGACTGCAAAATTTTTGTTTTTATATTAATTTGGTGATTCTTTTTAGCTATTGTGGTATTACGATTACAGACTCATTTATTCACGGTCAACCTCTTTCAGTGCCAGAATATTCACAAATACCAACGGTAATGTAAAGAATGCGCAACTTCAAAAATACAAACACTTTAAAATTCCACGGGCCTTCGTTAGAACACACTTGTGATGACTATCAGTCTACTCAAAATCGAGGCTTGCGTTAACCCTGAGTATTAAAGTTGGGTATTCTGTACAAATTTTCTAAAACTAAACGATTCTCACCAGTTCACAAGTAAAGAAATTACTCCCGAATGAAATTCCATTTTCGAAAATAATCTTGCTCTATTTTWAAACAGAGTCAGTTGCCAGGTTTTGGAATCGCTGGGCCTGTCATCATCTTTGGTGTGCTGGCGTTAATTGCTGGGGTAATGATGTATTGGATCCCAGAGACTCTGTACGCCCCGATGCATCAGACCATCGAGGAGGCAGAAGCCGCTAAGGAAGACTTTGGAATACCTTGCTTCGGTGGAAGGAATAAAACAGCTTTGGAAGTGGGAAGTGACATCGAAATTAGTAAACTGTAGATTTTTTAATTTGCGAATTTCAAAAAAGAGAATGAATGAAAGAAAGAAAGAAAGAAAGACAGACAGACAGACAGACAGACAGACAGACAGATAGACAGAAAAAAGTATAAACTATTGTATGTTAATTGTTATATACGTTTGAGTCTAGCTGCTCAATCAATTATTGCATCTCGGAATACCTTTATAACTCTAAATTAAGACATATTATGTAGATAACGACTAGTTTTGGAACTAGTTTGGACTGCGTCGGTGTTTTTTTAGTTGAATCAAATGTGTCGTAGTAGATAATTTAATCACCGTAAATACGAAAGACAATAGACTGACGTTTCGGACGTTAGTCCTTCGTTAGTCCATTGACTCCGACGAAGGAGTAACGTCCGAAACGTCAGTCTATTATCTTTCGTATTTACGGTGATTAAATTATCTACTACGACACATTTAAGACATATTACACCTATTCCAAAAATCGTTGAGTTGTCCGGGTCTGAAAGCGTACGTTTTCATGACATATACCAGACCACAAACTTTGCGGGCCCAGATAATTTAGTTCGGTGCATGCGAGGAATGTCAAGAGTTGAAAATYGGCTTTTACTTGAAGCGTACTGATTTTTTCTTTTTTGACCCCCTCCAACGACCATGATCCTTTGTGTTTAAACAATACATTGTTTTGATGTGACGTCATAGTGAAATAGGGCAATTCTGATTGCCAAAGAACAATATAGAAAATTCCTGGAATATTTCTGCCCACGGTTTTTCTTGTGGACAAGTTGACTTTACTGACAATTACTGTCTTAAATCGAGTCTCCAAAAAGAGAAACATTCTCACAAAGAGAAATATTATTTCCACTTTACGTCGTAGTCGTAGATTGTTTACATCTTACCTGTCCTCTATTTAATGTGTTTATCAATGTAAGAGTTAATTACCGAGAACGGAGGCAATATATATTTGACTTAAAAAGAACAAGAATAAAAGTTAACAAAGATAAAATAAAGCCTGGTGAATAACAAAGAAAACTGCGTCAATTGATAAATAAACGGTAATTATTCCCTCCTACTTTGTATGAAAAAAGAACACAATATTGTTGGCACATCATTAATACTAAGCCTTTATTGATCTGGGTACAATTGGTATAGAAGTTTAAGTGATTAGTACATTAGTCAAGAGCTTGTAAAAGCCATTAAGGGTTGATTCATTGCATTGAGTGTAATGTAGTTACGTCACTGATTATAAGTTATGATTATGTATGTACATAAATTAAGGACATAAATAAATGCACGAGGAGATACAACAACTGGCG